GGAATATTTACTTATCCTCGGCAATAAAAATTAGAGATACCTTGGCGATTTCTGCAACGGTGAGAAATACGATACCCAAGCTCTTTGCTTTGGAATCAAACTTATTTTTGGGTGTTTGAGCATTAACATGCAGGAACGCCAAGATTACACCAGCAACTACTATGTAGACATTCATCTGAATGTGAAAATTATTTTGTAAAATGATGAAAACGTTAACTTAGCAAATTGTACTAGAAATAAACAACTGCAACCAGGTAATGCAAGTTTGCCGTTATATGGTATTTATATGTTCAGTTTAACTCTAATCTTCGCGCTGTTTCTCTAATTGGGGAGGAGGATAAACAGCACAGAGGTTAGCCGATTTAGTCGCGCTTTTAAAAGCTATGTGATAAGCCTATGAAACAGTTCTGTGATGTGTGAAACATGCTAAAAATGTGAAGTAGACATAAGTGCAGAATTGTAATTCTCCTCTATTCTATCAAGGAGGGAAATATTATACCTTAATGGAAATATATCTTTAGCACTTTCCAGTTGGGTATGTGTCTGCTGCTTTTGCAGTATTGCTCGATATTTATTTTTGTAAATTTTAAAGGTAGTCAAAAAGTACCTCAAAATGTTTTGTTTATATTTGTGTTTTACCTTAAAATAATAGCATTTTTCTCTAAGTTGTTACATACTTACATTGGCGCACTGTCCTAAGATAGAAGAAATAGAAGACTTGGTCATTTTGTCGTTCAGTTATAAAAGTAAGTCATATTAGTGTACATCATCTAGCCCAGAACTGTGCAGCGGGCTACTTGTACTGAGAAGTTGACCTCTTCAGTAATTCACGTGTTTTCGCGGAAAGTCTAGTCTTCTGATGAAAACTTCTACAGTACACCAACATAGTAGAACCAATATTCTATTGATGAGCCTAATCTCCTAGTCATTACATAATGCATACCAATCAGCTTAAAAAGGAGCTATTTTGTGCTAAACTGCATAAAAAAGGATGCCAGTGTTAGTATGGTGTTAATGCCGCTTTTAGACCACTATGTGCATTTGGAGCGGTGATTTCATAACTTCAAACCATATTTGCGGTTTGCTAGAGAAGGAAAATGTTAAAAAAAGTTTCTGGTTCTGAGAAGCGCACGAACCGCCTTGCTAAACATCATCCTCGAAATGAATAGGAAATGCAAAAGCTTCTTCGTTAACTTTAGATTCTTGCTTTAGTTTCTGTTAATCAATTGCGTATGTATGCTAATTACAGCAGTAAGAAGCTTTGCATTTTCTCTAAACAATTCAAAGACATTGGTATGAGGATATTGTGTAGTTACCTCTTTCTGTGATAACAAACGATAATCAGGGCGGTGGTGGAAGTAAGTAGAGCATGTAAGCCTGCGAATGAGAATTCTGATGGCGGCTGGTGTTCCTATACTGTATGCCCGATGTTATCCCTACTAACTAAGTATTTGCCAGGCGTTTCCAATTCTGCCATGCCATTAAACTCTTCTTCCTCAAATTTGCAGAAAAATGTGAGTTATGATCGACTTAGGGTGTATTGCCGGACAATCTTCGGACATAAAGAGATAAAACACCTCATCGTTTCTCACCACCAGTGTGGCTGTTAGTGGGATATCCTCAATACATAAAAATTTAACTTTAATAAGGTACTTTTCAAAGAATGCTAATTCCGCTGTCAAGTAAAAAAGTGCTGCTACAACATATGCGCTGTTAAGTACTATGCTAGCTACTCGAAAACCTTGCCTCGAGAAAGCACACTCTAAACGTGGATGAAAAGTAAATTAGATTACCATTCACACCTTGCGGAATTAGGAATTGTAAATATGTGACATATGGATCCATACAATCTTATTCCAAGTCTTTTCATAGGGTCGTATCTCTCCGATGTTGATGAATATCGGAATTATATGTTTCAAAGCTTACACGTGTCTCATAGAAGGACCAGCAGTTTCTAAACAACGAAATAATTAAATTTTAACATTTTACTAAGGTTGTGAGATTGGCTTTTCCATCTTTGCACACTTTTTAAAGTTATCTACCTATTTTAGAGTATTGCAACTGTCTGTCATGAAAGAAAAACTGAGCTTCACTTTTAACAGGCACGCGGGTGATTTCATTTATGAATCATAAGTCAAATCGCAAAAAAAGTTCGTTGTTCTTACAAAGAAACGGAGCTTCATTCGTCTAATTGAAAGCGAATCATAGAAATGTAAGGCAATCAGCATTCTTGATGTGCTTGGCATTTAAAAACTACGAATTACTATCCAACTTTAGTATTTTCAGCTACTTTATTCATGCAGCAAGCTTTCCGGGAAGACAGCGTGTTTTAGTAACAAGCAAGCTATGTTGGTAAGCGTGATTTCAAAGAAATTTAATGTGAAAAAAATGTTTTTTTCATTTTCAGAAGTACTTATAAACGCGCTCCATAGGTTTCTAAATGAAATTACATAGTTTAGCAAACATCTAAGTATTAGACAAATTATTTAGATGCAAGAAACATGCGAAAACATCTTTTTTTTTGTTAAGCGAGTGAGCAAGCATCAAGCATGTGCTAAACCTGGGAACTAATTATTTTTGTGTATGAGACCACCCGTTTTCCAAAACAATAAGGTCCAATAAAGATTTTTGACTTTTCGTAGTACGCACTGTCTCCTAATGATGCAATTTCAGCCAATCACTTCTACTAAG